GAAGTTAAGGATGAAAAGTCCCTGGAAAAAAGGCTGGACCAAATATGGATTGAAAATCAAAAACTGAAGGTGAACATACCAAGATTTAAGAAGGAGTTCAACGCAATGGAGAAAATGGAAGTAGGGGCAAAGAGTACCAACCCATGAGAGACCAACCCATGAAGAACTATCGTTCGTATGCGGAAGTACTTACAGGCAAAGGTACTCAGCAACCAAAGAAAGGAAACGAACTAATGGGCCTTCAAAAGATTTGGGTAGCAAAAAAGAAGCAGACATGGAAGGAGATGGAATTCAATCTGAGGAGAAAAGATTGGGAGTGGCTAGAAAAGTGCTATGTGGGAACTCCAAGATCAATGGGTTTAGCACCAATAATCCAAGAAAGACTATACATGGAAGGAATGTTCTCCAATAAAACTAGATCAATGGGAGGCAAGCTTGTATTATTAGACGGTGAAGACAAAGGAACTAAAGGAGATTGTAGGGATGCTAAAGAATGGTTAAACCAATGGTTTGTTGAAGTTAAACCATGGAATCCTACTATGGTAGTAATTGAAAGATTGGTGTGGCTCAAGTACTTTGGTGTTCCACTACACGTATGGGGTTTGGAGTTTTTTGCATCCATAGCAAGTGTGTTGGGGAAGTTTATATCTTTGGATGGCAATACTAGATTGAAAAAGAGATTTGATGTTGCTAAAGTCTTGATCTCTACATCAAAAAAGAATATTATTTATGAAGGCCTTAATTATAAGATTAATGGTTATCTTGATTGCATCCAGTGCATGGAGGAAGAATTAAGCAAAGGGGCCTCTCATTAAAATCAGAGTATGTTCTGAAATCCCAATATTTTTCTGATGAAGGAAAAGATGAATCAGGAGATTTGGATTGGGTGAAGGAAAGCATTCTCAGGTCCAACAGCCATGGCTTCCAATGTGAAAGAGAAGGACCAACCAAGCCTAGTGAAGAAGAAGATGATGACATAGCTTATAACCATTGGCAGGTTGGTGGTCAAAAGGAAGGATTTTTCAAATTGGATGGCAACAGAGGAGAGAAGTCAACAAATAGCCCTATGAATGGAGAATGGAGAACATTAGACAAAAGAAGGGAAAAGAGTGTGCATGAAGAATTTAATGAAGTTATTGGAGATTGTGTAAAGGAGCCGAAAATTGGAAACCATAGCAACATTGAAAAATGTGATCAATAGTTGGAGATCCAAAGTCATGGCAACATTGAAAAAGGTGTCCAATTGCTGGACAAATACAGACTCATAAGGGCTAATTTTGTTGATGAGAAGATAGTCCATGTTTCAAATGGACTGGAGAAATTGGATCAAGCCCAAGAAACTAAGAGGGTTAATTTAAGAGAAGTGGACAAAGGGGATTGGAATTAAGCCCAAACCAAATTGGAGGCTTCTCGAAAGAGTGAAGCAAATTAGAGTACCAGGCGAGAAGTAAGTAAGGAAAACAAGGGCAGAAGTGAGAACAGTTCAGATTAGATATTGTCAGTTAACTCTGAAAAAATAACCATAGAAAGGAGCTCGCAAGTGGAAAAATCAACTTAGCAGATGCAATCCAAAGAACAAGAAGCAAAATCTGTAAAGGAGAAAGCTGAAGCAGAACCTACAAAGGAGAAAGTCGATGTAGAAGAATAAGGTGATTTGTTTTGGCAAGGTATGGATAATGATTCAGGTAGAATTGAGGAATGGATGTGAATGGGTGAAAGGAAGAACTTGAGAAAAAGAAATGGTAAAAAGAAGAAAGTTAGATCTTGAATGTCCGTGTATCAGATTTTTCCTATGGTGGGAAATACAGACAAATTGACGAAGAAGGGAGGCAGAGTCCGCTCGAAGAAAAATCTAAGGGAGAAATTGCCAACTTTTATCCCAGACCCATTGAACCCAATTGTAGGTGGGTCAATTTTAGATAATGGTATTTTGAATTGTAATAGAGGAGGAAATAGAAAAATTAAAAAAGCTCCGTTGAAGATGAGATTTGGAAGTTTGCAAAGGTAGTGGGCATCACAACAAAAGGTAATGAAGAAAAGGTTGTAACAAGGATTGCAGAACTAAAGAAAAGGGATAAAGAAGCTAAAAAGCAGCTACTACAAAAGGGAGACACAATTGGGAAGAAGGTTAGTAATCTAGCTCCATGAATATGCTATCATATGATACAAGAGGATTAGGAAGGATGGGAAAGAAATGAGAAATTAGAGAGCTAGTTAGTAGGGATAAGGTGAATTTTTTGGCAATACAAGAATCAAAGATAGAGGTGATTGATAGACAATTGAGTAGATCATTATGGGATTCAAAGGATTTTGATTTTATGGCAAAACCATCTAATGGTCAATCAGGGGGTCTAATATGCATATGGAATAAAGAAATGCTCAGTATGAGTAGAGTGATAGAAGGTACAAATTTTGTAGGAGTTTTTGGTTTTTGGGGAGTAAATAAAACTCCAGTATACATTGTGAATGTGTATGGCCATTGTGAATGTGTATGGCCCTTGTGAAGCAGTTGGAAAAAGAAAGTTATGCGAGAAGTTGCATATGATGATTAATGAAAATATAGGAAACTGGTGTTTATTAGGGGACTTCAATGCTACAAGGAATCAGTATGAAAGAGCAAGTAGCAGCAGTCAAACAAGCATAATGAGGCAATTTGAGGAATTTATCAAGGAAGCAGGACTGGTTGATATCCCATTATTGGGGAGAAAATTCACATGAGACCACCCTAATGGTTGTTCCCTGAGCAAACTCGATCGATTTTTGTTATTTGAAGAGTGGATAATGATATGACCAGATATGAAGTAGTGGGGCCTTAATAGATCCTTATATGATCATTGCCCTATCCTGTTGAAAAATGAGAAGACCAACTGAGGACCTAAGCCTTTTAAATGCTTTAATGTATAGCTAGATTAGAACAGCTTCAAGAAGCTTGTGGTGGATACATGGAAAGATAAACAAGATTGCAGGTTGGAAGGGATACCAATTAAAAGAGAAATTGAAGATGGTGAAAGTTAAAGCAAAAGAATGGAGCAAGAAAGAAATGTCCCACATTGATGTGAAGATTCAAGAGAGCAAGGAGGCAATCGCAAACCT